AAGAGGACAAGGCCCCCGCCTTTGAGGAGCTCAGAGACTTGTGGGAGAGACAACAGGAGGCAGCTCTTGATAATTCCTATGTCACATGGCACGTGCCAGCACGGAGGAACACACAGGGTGCTACCCAGGCGCAGAGGATGGGCTGGGGGTGGTATCTGGGCAGGGACCCCAGAGGAAGGGATGCCTGAGCTGAAATCTGAAGGATGAACTAGGATAGCCTGGAAGAGTCACAGGAAAGAGAAGGAAGGTGGGGGGTGATGGGGCCGATGGACATTCTTGAACAAAGATGTGGAGGTAATTCTAGGCAGCTTGGGGTGGTGGGGTACTGGGACATAGAGGCCGTGGTAGCAGATGAAGCTGGCAAGGTCCGCTGGGCAGGACTGTGGACGGTCCTGAGCACAGACAGCCCGGCTCCCCCTCCCCCACGCGCTTCCCAGAAGAGTCCCCAGCCTCGTGACAATCTATACTACCTACATAACTGCTGATTGATGAATGAGTGGGACGTGGGGAGAGGCACGGGCAGGGCTGCTGACCACGGGCACAGCCTCCTCCTTCAGCTTTATTACACGTGGGATCACCTTCCACAAGGCCTTTGCAACCTCTGCAGAAGACTCAGTTCCTAGAAATGTCACACCTTGGCCCAGCCTACAGGGAATTTACCAGGTCTGCTGCAAAGACTTTCTGACAGTTCTTGACGCAGAGGACCCAGGATTTAAATTGAGCAAGGAAGGTTGACAAACACAACTTACCAGATACCCAGAGACTGACCGGAAGGTAGTACAAGCTTGTTCTGGGTTTTCCTGTCCAGGAGCTGGGTCCATCCATTGTGGGCTCAGGATGCAGAGGGAGCGCATCCACTGGCTGAAGCTGCAGGGCTGATGGAGTTCCAGTCCCTCTATCTCAAAGGCCAGGCTGCCCCTTTGCTGCCATAGTGGCCTGGACTAACCAGAACCACCCCATGGTAGCCATAGGGAGATGCTGTAAGTTGCCATGAGTTAGCCCACGAAGCAGGCTGGACACTTGGCTGTGCTTACACACCAGACCAAACCGGTGGGAGTTTTGTAATAAACAGGAGTGTAGAGATGCTACTGGCGGCAAACACGGAGGGTGCTCTAAGGCAGGGGTCCCCAACTCCCGGGCCACAGCTTGGTACCAGTCCTTGGTCTGTTAGGAACTGGGCCGCAGAGCAGGAGGTGAGTGGCGGGTGAGCGAGCAAAGCTTCATCTGTATTTACAGCCGCTCCCCATGGCTCGCATTACTGCCTGAGCTCTGCCTCCTGTCAGATCAGCCGTGGCATTAGATTCTCATAGGAGCGCAAACCCTACTGTGAACTGTGCATGCGATGGATCTAGGTTGTGCACTCCCTATGAGAATCTAATGCCTGATGATCTGAGGTGGAGCTGAGGTGGTGATGCTAGCACTGGGGAGTGGCTGCAAATATAGATTATCATTAGCAGAGAGGTTTGACTGCACAGAGACCATAATGAACCAATTGCTTGCAGACTCATATCACAACCCTATCAGTGAGTGGCAGGTGAAAACAAGCTCAGGGCTCCCACTGATTCTGCATTATGGTGAGTTGTAGAATTATTTCATTATATATTACAATGTAATAATAATAGAAATAAAGTGCACTTTTTTTCTCTTGGCCAAAAGAAAGTCACTTGACAGTGTTTACTTCATTAGTCTGAATGCTACAGAAGACCCAAAACAAACAAACAAACAAAAAAACAGCACATGCACATAAACAAAAACCCCAAACCACTAAAAACTGCTTAAACACTGATTCGTTAAGCAGAGCAGAGATGAAATTTCTCTAGCAGAGAAAGAGTAAAAAGGTAATGTGGGCCTTTTAAACCTTTAGTCCATTTAGCCAGGCTTCAGTTGGGATAGATGGAATATCAAAATCAGGCTAGTCTAGACAAAAACTGCATGGCTGTTTAAAAACCACTGAATAGGAGGAATGTGTTAGAAGGAAATAGATTAAAAACAATTAGACAATCGTTGACCCGCACCTATTTTTCTAATAAATTTCTATCAAGCGCCTCAGTCTAAAAATCTAATATACCTGGACCATTACTACTACCAGCAAGTCTTATTTATTTCTGGCCATTTATTCCTGAAAGTCTCGTGAGAAGACATGGTGAGGAGTAAATCCAACCGCACGTAGGACAGCGGACAAGAGAAAACATGCGTGATGCGCTTGAATCATCCCAAAACCATCCCCCACCCGCCGCCGGTCCGTGGAAAAATTGTCTTCCACGAAACCAGTCCCTGGTGCCAAAAAGGTTGGGGACTGCTGCTCTAAGGAAGAAGGTGGCCAAGCAGATGGCACTGGAAACCACTGACTTGTTAAACAGTAAAACGCAAAACAAAAGTTGCAGTTTGTTGGGTGACTGCCTTTTGCTTTGGGGGATTTTCTTCTTTTTCCTTTTTTTTTTGTTGTCTTTTCCAAGAGAGAGAAACTGGCAGCGTTTCCTGCTCCGAAAAGGACAGATTCCTCAGGCACCTCCCACGAGGGAGAAAGTAGCCTGGTGTCTGAGTTTGTCCTTAAATATTTCCTCAAGCTGGCTTCCCTGTCTGGTCAGTAACCAAGTGATTCGTTCCGTGGGGTAGAGCTTCCCTGGGCTCCCTCGAGCTGGACTATTTATCATGGCAGCAGCTGGAGATAAGCTGGACACAAAGAGGATTTGTGTCTCCACGGGTTGGGCCCTAGATACGAACGTGGAGGAATTTTCTCATTAGTGGTAAGTCATGGAGGGGACTCCGGGCTTTCATCGTGCGACCCAGTGCAAACGGCAGCAGGGAGGAGGGCACCCTGGAGGGGCAAAGTCCTTGAAGATGCTTTCACTGGACAACTGAAATGAAGGTTTCCAGAGTGGATTTCCTTGGAAGAGAGGAAAGACACTGAATGTTTTCTGCAAGCTGTTCGGGGTTAGGTGGGGCTTCATCTAGGAGGGCTGCATTTCTTTGTGTGGACTTAATTACTTGTTCCCACTCAGAGGGGAGCCACAGTGGGGGCTCCAGATCGGGCACCTCAAACCCAGCGGTTGGCTGGCAGGGGCAATGCTGAGTGAAGCCCAGGGGACCCCGAGGGCCAAAGTCTCAAAGGCAAGGAGGCGTAACCAGCAGCTGGCAGGCTGATCTGGGGAGCCCCACGGTGGTGGAGATGTGGGTAGAGAGAGGACAGGGAGTTGAAGCACAGACGGTTCTAGAATACTCCCAGGATTCACAGACTTCAAAGGGATTTGGAAGATGTCCGAGAGCAAACTGACCAGGAAGGAATTCTCTGAGCTTGGAGCAGTATCTGAGGTGCAGTCCCAGACTAGCTAATTCCATAAATTCTGAATCCCAGCTGGGGTTCCTCACCAGCACAGACACAGACTTTAGGAATGAAGTGGGCTTCCTGATGACCTCTGATTTGTTCGTTTCCTTCAGCAACCACTATAGGTAGATTAAGCTCAGAGTTTGAAAAACACTTAGTTGAAATTACTCGCCGCCCCCCCCCAATTTGGTACTTCACTGTGTAACAGGCTACGCTAACATAGCCTGTTAGCATAACAGGAAGGCAGGTTCCGTGGAGTCCTCACCCATCGTGGGCATAGTGAGAGAGAGAACCAGGTGTCTCTTCACCAGTGTTACCACTGTGCCCCAGACAGCACTCAGCTCACAGACAGGCTTGGATATGTTGTCTGAATACATGCATCTTTCTATCCCAGCTGCTAGACCAAAGGCTCAGAGCACAGCATTAAAAAATGTGACATATTCATATCCTTTTTCACATTTAAAGATTTCCTCAGAAGTTTTTAATTTTTACATTATAGTTTTTCATATTTGATCTCAGCCAAAAATAACTCCTTTGCATAATAGTGGGAAAGAAAAAGCATACGAAAGGCACATTTCACACCTGAATGACTGCAGACGTTGATCCTGAAGCCATCCAACGGGAGAGGTCGCCCAAAGAAAGTCACTGGACTTACGCTTAAAGGAAGAAGTTGCTATTGTAAGAACTTTCAATGCCTTTTCCCAGGCATGGAATATGCTGGATTGGGTTTTGTGTTACTCCTGCTTTCCCAGAGCAATACGCTGCTCCCCACTCCAGAGCGAGCGAGCAGTGTGAGTGCCCGTGGTCTTTGTGCTCATTCTCTGAGAAAGGAAGTGCAGGAGTGGAATTCAGTGCAGAAAAGGCTGGAGACAGCCTCATGCCTGAGACGTTTCTGATGCGCCCCCAGGGAGGGACTCCTGGCACATCATGGGGGCGAATGACAGGGCCGGGCAGGAAGGTCCCATCCTTCCCCCTTTAGAAATGTGTATGGCTTCTTTTCCTTCCCCTCCCTGTCTCTTCTTTACTTTGTCCCTTTTAAGGAGGTTAAAGGTCTGGCCAACTCTCAGCTGGGAGTCCTCTGGGTCTCCTGGTCTGACACCAGCCAGGGGCAGCAAGGGGGTTAAAGGGGCTTCAGGCCAGCGCTGCTCCAAGCCACGCTGTCTCAGTAAGGAGCATCTGGGTTGCCCCAGTCTGGGGTAAGTGCCTACATCAGCAGCTTCGGGTTTTTTCCCAACACTGCTAATGACTCCGAATCTGATGGCAGCTCTGATCCCTCTCTGAAGAGCGCCTGTGTGCACACCTAGCTCTGTCCCCTCCTTGATGGGAGAGGGCTATGGACCCCAGGTGGACACTCTGGTGGTCACTCCCTGCTTCCTTCTGAGGGGGAAGGTTGCACCTCTGCACGTGATGTTGATGCCCTGAACCAGACGTAGGTCTGGTTGGAAGAGGGACACTTCCACAGCAGCCAGCCGGTTAGAGGAACGTATGAGGGCACATCCCGAGAGATCATTTCCTCCCAAGGTCTCATGCCGGAGATCTGTCATCAGTGCCCATCATCCTCACGTCTCACTCTTCCAGGCTCACAAAGCAAAAGGCCAGTGCTCTCCACTCAATAAGGCAGCCTTCAGAAAAACCAACCACTCTGCAACAATCAGGAGCAAAAACCAGAGCAGCAAAACCAGACCAAATCACTTTATTGTGTAGTTTCCTTCTACCAGAAGGTGACTAAAAATATAAATATAAAACCTTTAGAAAACACTTGGAATAGCTCTGTAATATTCTTCTTTCCCCAAACTGGGGCCAACCTCTTTGTTCTTTAAAAGTTGATGGACCACATGAATGTCTTCATATCACCCACATTCGTTAACACAGATACATTTCTCTCCATGCAGGGGAATATGCCACCTTCCTGCCCAGTTCTGGAAGCTCACCTGGCATCTATCAGGGTAAAACTATTGCTGAATATGGGAATACAGGACAGTGGGTAACAGGGAGAGAAAAAAACTCTGTGGCCCCAGCTTCCTTCTGTGGACACAGAAGACAGGCCCTTCATTTCTCCTCAGTACCCTGTCCTCGAGCAGACTGGGCCAAGCTTCCAGAGAAGTTGGATTCACCATGAGGGGTGTGTCAGGGGGGTGACTGCCATGCCGCAGTCATGGGCAGGTCAGGCTGTTGACATGGACATGGGAAGTCAAGAGCTGGTCTGAGCCGGGGCCCTCAGCAGTATAGAAGTCGCTGTTCCTACTGGCCTCTGGGCTACACTTAGCCCTAGCACCAGGCACTCTCTGTCACATCTAGGACCTGATTTTAGCCTCAGAGAGCTCCTCCACCCCAGTAGCAGCATCACCCCTCCTGTAGAAGGATGGCTGAGATGGAGATCACAGAGAGGCCACCCAGACATTGAAGCAGGGTCCCACAGTTCCTTGTTTGGTACTAGACACGAGTCCAAGGAACACTGGGACCACCCTGGTCACGGTCCTGGGACAGCCTGATAGGATCCCTGGGCTAACCCTGGGTCTGAGGGCCAGGGCCTCAGCAGCGGCTGGGTGTGGAGCGGAGAGCAGGGTGCTTAAGCCAGCCCGGGCCTGCCACCTCTGCACCTATGGCTACAATAACACCCGGCCAGAGCCACCCTGGTCTCTGGGAGAGGAGCAGCCCCAGAGTGCAGGAACCTGGTAAGTTTCCCATCAGAGAAGCAAACCGAGCTTCTGGGATGGAAGCACAGATGAAAGTGGGCTAGCTGCCAGCACGTGGGTTTAGTTCTCTGCCCCCAGCTCTGTGTTTTGTGCAGAACCCCAAGCCATTGTGGGAAAACTCACGGGCCCCCAAATGCTAGTCCTGAGAACTTCTGAGCATCAGGGTCAGATATCAACATCTTTGTGATATTCCTGGAGTAAGTCAGGATCGACTCAATTCAGTAACAGCCTTCCTCGCTTCACCACGGCCTGCAAGGTGCCCGGCGTGCCTGGACCCTCCTGAGGAAGATGAGACAAAGCTTCACTCTGAGAACGCAGGGTAGGAGAAAAGGCGGCGGGAGAGCTATGGCAAGGCCCCCGGCCGCAGAAGCAAGGAGGCGGGAAGGGCACCTGCATCCCGGTGGTCCCCCGAGGCTCCCGGGTCTACACGAGTTAGCTTGGACATTTTATAAGGCAGGGGTGGTTCCTGGGGAGCAGGAACCGGGTGATGAGATGAAGTGGGCAGTGAGCTCTGGGGCACCCAGAGTGGGAAGCCGAACAAAGAATAGAAAAGGGGAGGCGGCAGGGGTCACAGAAGGAGAACTAAACAGCCCACTCTGGCCAGATGTGCCACTCCCAGCCTTCTCCCGGGGACCCAGCCACCTTGCTCAAAAAAAGGCATGTTCTCTTCTTGCTGCAAAGGCCCCCGGGGTTGGGATCACCCCCCGACAGGGTCTCTTGGCCACAGGAAGACAGCATGACAGGACCCCTGGTGGGAGACAGGAACACAGACGTGGGTTAACCCAGGAGGGCAGAACCAGTGGGGCTGTGTGAACTGTCAGTCCTTCACAGAGACCCCAGAGGCAGGCAGGTAGACAGCACCTTCTGTACAAGAGCGGAGCGCCTCCTACTTAAGCGTGGCCTGCTCCACGGTTCCTACCACATTCCAACCTCTCACACTTCTCACCTGGCTTCCTGCACTTACCACGCCTAGACCCTACAACTACATCACATCACGCTGTGGAAACCCCGAAAAGCTGCTCTGAGCCCTTACGACTACTCTTTCCCCATCCCGTTTTCACTGCCTTCCCCACTACTGCTCTGGGTTCTCTCGGGACCAGCTCCCTGGACGCCAGGTTCCTGGGCCCTCCCCGCCAAACAAAATCAGAACTTGCTCTGCTGCTTCTGCCAGGGCCTGCCTAGCCCTGTCTTCACGCACAGCGAGGGAAGCCCGGGTCTCTTCTTCTGTGCAGGGAGCCCGAGCGTAGCTGACTGCATCATCTTGCCCAGTGCCCCTCCACACTCCCATGCTGGGCAGGCGCTCTCGGTGGCTGGCTCCGTGCCCTGCCTCAGGCTAGACGAGACACACCCTGTGAACCCGGGGTGTCGACAAGGCTGCCCGAGGTCTCAGGTCCGGTAAGCATTGCCCCCGGCTTGCATCCACACGGGCAGAGGCGAGGTAACAACCCAAGGGCCTGTGCTGTCTTGGGGTCAGGAGGAGCTGTGGCTGGGCTGTGCTCAGGGTATGCGGCTTTCTGGGCCTGGGCCCATCATCGAGCCAAACCCATCATCCCTCATCCAGCCTGATTCCCCTGGAGGCAGGAGGCCTCCGGCCCCCAGGGAGGAGAAGGAAGGAACCAGGAGGGCATGGGAGGGAGAAGAGCAGGCAGCATGTGGGAGCCAGGCAGAGAGAATACCCTTCATCCTGGGCTGCTGGCCTTGCAGGTCAGTGGGAAGTCAGGGCAACTCGGAGCAGAGGCGCCCTAGTATCCAAGGGCTGCAGCCAGCACGCCAAGGAGCGGGGATGGCACCCGAGTCCTTTTGCCATTCCACAGACGGACTCTTGAACTAGGACTACACGTGGACTTGTGGCCCTGCAGCAGCCCGTGTGGAAGAACTGGCTCTGCTGAGCCTTGTGCAAGCAGGACAAACAGCAGGGTGGAGCTGGGGCAAGGGCCAGGGTGCACAGTGGAGAAGCGAGCAGAGGGGAGGGGGTCTCAGCAGGAGCAGAAGAAGCTCTACTCAAAGGACAGCAGGTCTGGGTGAGGGCCCTCCATGTCAAGGCTGGAGGTCCGTGCCCGAGGAGGCGGGCTGCTGTCCTCCAGAGGCTCAGCCAGGCTGATGGGGCTCAGGCTGAGTTTGAGGCCATTTCTCTCGATGAGGCCAGGGGAGGAGGCCCTTCGGCACTCAGTCACCTTCAGCTTCGGTTCGTCCTGGTTGTCCTTGTGGATTAGGTCAGGTACCGACAGGGAAACCTCTCCATTGGGCAGAGCCTCGCCCCTGTCCACCATTTCCACGATGGCCTCTGGCTGTGAAGCATCTGCTGGGCTGGGCTGGGCAGTGGGAGGGGAGTCCTGGGGCTGCCCAGGTGACAGCTCTGTCCCATACTCCAGACTGCTTAGGACTGGCTGCGATGAAATCAGCATGTCCTGGGTGGTCTTCAGGGCCCGAGGGGTTCGCTTCCTGGTGGTAGGAGGCGGGGGATCCAGCCGAGGGAATGCTTCTTGCAGGGATGACCTATAAGGTTGGTGACATGAGCTGACATGAGGCTGGCGAGACACCATGCTGCACTTTCCACTCACCCACCCGGGAAGTGCTTTTCGCTCTGGGCCCTCGTTCTTGGTTTAGCGTGCGAGTCGCGGCAGTCTGAGCACAAATGGCTTTGGGCCTGTCACATCCTCACTTGGTGTCCGCAACAGCACGAAGTGTTAACACTGGGACCACTGGTGAACCGCGTCCCGTCAGAACCTACACAATAGCCCTGAAAAGTGCAGCACCACTTGGGGAGTGTAGGTGTCTAAAACGAGGCTGGACACGGGAGGGCTGCCAAAGGAGGCTCCCCTCTCCCCTGACCAGTGGGTTCTGCCAGACGCCGGCTTCTCCACTACCAACAGTCAGGGCAGCACTTCTCAGGTGTGGCTGGGTGTCAGAATCCCCCCGGGGAGCCTCTGGCAGTACCTGGGTTTGAATCCAGCTCTGCCAATTACTAACTTTGTAACCTTAAGCTCCTCACGTTACCTCTCTGAACCTGCTTTACCTGCAAAATGGAAATAATATACTTCATCTCAGAAGGCTGTTTCAGGGTTAGGTAAAATAATGCAGCTGAAGCATAGCACGGGGCTAGGACGTGATGGGCACGCCGTGAACTTCAGCCATGGTGGGAGCGTTGAAGCCGGCTCCCACAAACATGGCCCGATCCTTCAGCTGTTCTTTATGTGACAACCTCCGTCCCTACCCCAAGGCCATTCTCCCCTCTAGACACTACAGTTTGTCGCAGGCCTCTTCCAGTGGGTCCAGACCCGTAAGGATGTCAGGGCGGGAGGGAGAGATGCACTCACCTTCCGTCATCCACGTCAGCCCCGCCGGCCAGCTGGGCCCCTGCAGTCTTGTTGACCTCCATCGTGCCCACGCTGCCCAGGCTCGAGGGCTCTTTTCTCCGCAGGAAGTCGTTGACTTTGGCCCCCATGGCTTTGCCCAGGTTCTTGAGGTGCTGGCTGCTGCCCACCCAGAGTCCAGGCCCTCCGGGCTCCACAGGCCCCAGGGCGGCAGAGCTGGGGGCCGCAGGCCTGGACACGTGGGGGAAGGAGCGGCTTGGCTGGAGCTTTGGAGTGAGGGCCGTGTTCAAGTTCTCAAACATGCTGTGGTCGACTACAAAGAGGGAAAGACAGAAAGCTGGTGAGGGGAGGGGAGGGGGGCCCTCGACCCCATCACTTTTGATCTTCTCCTTATACCACACCCACAACTTGTAACTTCATGAGGTTTTGGAAATAGTCAAGAGGGTCAGGCAGCAAAGACACTCTTGAACCTTCCGATCCAGTTGTTCTGATGGGATGTGGGACCAGAAATTCTAGTTTTGCCTCACCCGGGTTAATCAGTGATGAACTCTAGCCACAAAAAAGCTAACTTATCCCTTTAAACATGCCTCCTTGACTCATGGCTTAACCCCTTACCTTGGGGTCACCAGGCCCTTTGAAGTAAAGGCAAACAAGGATGAAGCAATGAGATGTGACATTTTTACACTGCCACGAGCACATGTGGATCTCTCTGACTCAGGCGCTGGGGTAGAAGTTGGTGGAGGGATGGCAAGTATGAGGCTTGGAGTTGGAAGCTCCTTGCTAAAAAGCCACATGTGTAGCACGTTTTCTCCATGAAAAATGCTCACTTCTCTTGGGGGTGGAACTTGGGAGAATGGGACAGCTGCATGCAGAGAGATGCTAAGTGGTGGTTCAGAACCAGTTCACGCCAAGTGGACAAAGCACTTGGTGCCAAGGAAGCAGGAGGAAGCTGACAAACGCCAGCTCACTTAATCCTCACAAGCTAGTAAGGCGGGGCATGCTAAGATTTCTCTTTACAGAGGAAGAAGACGGGGCTCAGAGTAATGAACTGCTGGGCCCGAGGTCACAGCCCAATTACTGGCACAGTGGGAACTAGAACCCAGGTTTTCTCACCTAAAGCTCAGGGCTCTTGCCACTACTTCTCCTGCCTTGCAATGGAATAAATGCCTAAATATGCCTCGTGCACAGTCTGCCTCTCAGGGATCTCTGTTCGGCTGGAAAGATGAACTCAAAGGGCTGGGAGGAGACCCACTGGGTTGTAAACACTTGCAGGGCAGGAGCCATGTCTCACTCATCTTTGTGTCTTTAACAGCTAGCCTGGGTGTGGCACACAGTAGGTGCTCAGTAAATATCCTGAAATGCCAAACCCACGTGCAGATAGAGAATCATGGAGACCGAGACCACAGTAGCTCCGAGGTCTGTAGTTGGAATGGCTAGAGCTCAGGGCTCTAAGCCACGCTGTCCACACACTTGCACAGAGGCAGCCTCTCCCCACCAGGAAATCCAGCTCAGGCCTCAGTGCAGCCAGACCCACCCTGGGGCCTTGGAAGCAGGCTTGAGGTTGCTGTCCTTACCAGCTACTCCAGATATTTTGTCGGTCTCAGAGGAGAGTGATTTGGGCATAGGCTCTGCTCCTTGTCAATATCTCTGCTAAGTGCCTACTCCTGCCGAGCCTTCCTAAGAGTAACTGAGGTTAGGGTATACATTTTCTTCCGTTGAACTTTTGCATAAAGCAATTCTCTGCCCTGCACTGCTGAGTCCTGGGCACTGGGGAGCATTTCTCTTTATTGTGGTTTTACGCAGAGATATCCCTTCTGAGCCAACTACTTCAATAAGCCATATGCTAAGGGTCTTCTGGCAGCAGGAGGAAGCTGTGGGAGGAGTGGAGATCTCCCCCTGTGATGAACCCCACAGTCTTCACCTCTGTAAGTGCCCCTAACCCACGTGCAAGAAAAGCACCACTGCAGGGGACATGCTGGGAACCCGATTAGAGCACCCCTGGGACACGGGACACAGAGCTGACTGGTTCAGGCTGGCTGGGTTCCAGATGTAGACCCACCACACTAGGAGGAGATCCCGGCCCATCCCACAACAGGGGTATCAACTCTTGAGTCTTCTCCTGAGAGTATAAATCTTGCCATGCCATCCACTTTTGCATAATTTACCTATCATGTCCCATATCCTTCTAATTTTTCTTTAATCGTGAACTCTGCAGACTAGCAGAGAAGCCTTTGGAAACTAAAGCATTTAATGATTTCCCCCCAAACCAGAAAGTATTGGGGCCACCATGAAACTAGAGCAAATGTTCAAGAGATATATGCCAGGGAAGAGGGCCAATCCCCACCACTTTCGGGCTCACATAGTTCTGTGGCTGTTTCCTTACTGGTTTAATGTGAGTTTTCAGAGCAGACACATTCACTTCTAAAAGTGTAAATACCAAAAACACCTGGCAAAGTGACTTGTAAACTGTGAGCCCCTTTGATTATAATTATTGAAGAAACACATTCTAAGAAACATAAATAACTTTTGGATTAAACACCATTTTAGATTTCCTGTACTTCTTGTTTCTCTACCCTTCAGGATGTATACACTGAATTCTTAAGTAATTTAAAGATAGCTCATCATATACTCTCTTCATAATTCTCTTAAGTCTTCTGGTAAATACATCTTGTCTTTAATAATAAAATAAGTCCCTTGATGGGAAGAAGCATCTTAAGTGACATTTTTTGTCTATAATGCTCAGCATAGGGCCTTGCACGACAGTAGGCATTTAATAAATTCATTGCATTGACTTTTGATATGAATACTTAAAACTGACTGCATTATGGGTTAACATCGTAGAGAAGCTGTTCCCCAAGCCTTCTTCCATTTACAAAAGACACTCAAAACCCCCTCCTCCGGGAGCGGTCCACGGGGGCTCTTGAGGTCAGGCCGGGAAAAACTGCCCTTCTCTCCAAAGCAGGACTCTGGCTGGGGCTCCCTTCATCTTTACATCTGAGGGATGTGCAGCGAGCCCCTTTCCTGCTGGAGGCACTAATGACCCCACACTCTGTCAGGACGGGAGGCTTGGGGGTTCAGAAAATAATGGTGATGGCAGAAAGAAAGGTGACTGGATCCCAACCAGGTGGCCCTCCTAACAGCACCCCCCAGCATGCACATAGCCAAGCAGAGGGGAGCATCTGGGGCCAAAGTCATCCAAAAGAAAGACAGTATCTTACCTGTCCGAGAAAGGGGCTCGGAGAGCAGGCGGGAAACAAACGAGAGAGAGACACATTTTATGTAGTGACCGACCACTATGGGAGTGTCACCTCCCGTCTGGGTCACCAGCAACAGCCCACCAAGAGGATATAGCATGCAAGACAGGGGTCCTGCTATGAGGAGTGTAACAGACCTGGATGACCAGGTTCCCATATGCTTTTTAATAAACCAAAACAGAGCCGTATTTTAAAAATTCTACAAACAGGTGCTGATGCGGCCTCCTGTATTTCTCCCAATATTCTGAGGCCCCTTTACATTAAGTATATCTGAAGTTCCTAGCTGGCAGTGGGAGGAATGCGATGGGCCAAGGCAACATGAAATTCTAAGTCTTCTGGATCCTGTGTGCGTCACTCATTTTTTTGCTGTCTCGTTTCCAACACGTGAATCCCTAGATTTTAGACCGGAAAGACGTTCATTCATCCACTCCAACCGTCTAAATTAACAAGATGGGAAAAGCAGGTGGCAGAGAGGTCTGCCTAATACCGCACGGGGAGGTGACGGCAGAGCAGGGGTTAGAACTCACGTAGACTGACTCCCAGACCCACGATCCTTCTCTACACCATGACGGCCAAGAGAAACTGCCAATACCCTCAAAGTTGCCAAGGTACATGGCGTCAAGTTACATCCTAACACGTTCTAATGTTCCAAACCAGGCTATGAAGGAGGTCCGTGAGATCTCATTCCCCGCACTGTCCTGCAAATGTTTAAGTACCGTGAATAAACACGGGCAGGAAGACAACTCTGGGATCTCACAGGCACATGCTCACACTTGCTTCACACACTGCCAGGGGAGCCCACTGCTGACTATGGGCTGGGCCAGACCTTTCCCACCCAGCACAAACATACCCACCTTTAGATCTAAAGCCCTGTATGCATCTAGTCATGATGATCTAGAATGGGGCACCTTCAAGCTCATCTTTCAACCCTCTAGCTAGCAGGCTGGCCAGGTTGTTACATGACAGAAGGGAAGCAAAGAGAAGAGGCTACCTCGCCACTCTGAGTGCATAGCCTTACTACCAAATTGCTTATAATGAGCAAAATGGTGCTAAGCCATCCATTTATGGTTTAGTCATTTGCTAAAAACAGACAGCACCATTTAAAACAGTATTTGGTCCCTATTCTTAGGACGTACATATTGAAGTATTTAGGCACAAAGGGATATTATGTTTGTAATTTACCTTCAAATATCTCAGAAAAAAAAATGTATACACACATAGAGGCAGAGAGGGATGGAGGGAATTGATAAGACAAATGGAGTAAAATGTTAACAATAGGAAAATCTAGATACAGGTTACGTGGATGATGTTCTCTGTTCAAATTTTATTTTTGCAGCTTTTTATAAGTTTGAAATTATTTCCAAAGAGAAATGCAAAAAAATATACCCCAAACCAAGAAAACAGAAACTAAGGTAAAACAACAAAAACATCTGGTGACAGAGGTTAGGCAGATGAAAAAAGCAAAGAGGTCATTAAGACAGGACAGAGGATCCCAGAGCTGGGGGTGGTGACAGCAACGACATGGAAAAGGGACACTAAAGAACAGAGGGGGCGCACAGACAACATCGCTATCAGGTCTCTACTACATTCCTCCCTCTCTCTGGGTATCCCCAATCAAGACAGGCCACGGAAGAATGACAAGTGAAAAACATCTTTAAAATTTTTTTATCTTGCTTGCTACAGACCCCATCCATCTTTGAGAGGGATAACCTCGCTGGCGAGTAGAATCATGTGGCCTTTTTGTGATGTCAGCTGAGCTCAGAATGTTTATTGTCTGGACAACCCAACCAGCCTCCTGGAAGCAGGCGTGTGTGACCTCCATACACTTCAGTAGTCAGAATATGGAGAACTTCTCACTCCTCAGCATTTCTGGACCTCGAATCGCTTCCTCTGCTCTGAGCACTTTTCCTGATATCACGTCCTCACGTGCCACCAGCTTGCCAGGTAAACTCTCGTGCCACTAGGGCCACAAAAATGTGGTTTTCTGAAGCTTGTAATTGAGTACTCTACCAGATCATGTTACAGGACCACGATTTAGTGAGAAAGTCAAATTACACGTGGGGAGAAAATAATTTTTCAAAATGTTGCCTACATGGTAAGTAGTTCCTGCTGTTTATTCATTTCTTGCAAGGGAAGGATGGGGGAAACATTTGTTATCAGACTTTTTTCCCCCTCTGAATCTGCATGAACCCTCAAAGTGACAGTCTGTCTAAGTAAGGAGTGTGTACTAGTTTCAGCCCTGTTTTGACAACCTGGAGAAGATCTAGACTTATCAATCCGTCAGAAGGAACCTAAGGCAGGGGGGAGCTGATGAGCCTATCCTGGAATAAAGTTGAATGGGCTGAGGACTTGCTATTCAAAGCATGGTCCATGGACCTGCAACATCACCATCACCTGGGAGCTTGTCAGAAAAAGGCAGAATCTCAGGCCCTACCTCGGACCCGCTGAATCAGAATCTGCATTTTTAACGAGATCTCCAGGTGATTCCCATGCACGTGAAAGTCTGAGAAGTGCTGTTCTGTGCAGTGGTTCTCCTAAGCATCCATTTGCCTATACACAGGACATTTGTATCCATCTGTTTCCCAAACTGAGCACAGCTACTGGTGTGCGATTTGAGGCAAGCCGGCTTCTTAATCCAAGTATTAGCAACCATCAGGCAGCTGGGATCCACCCGAACGCTCTCTGGCTGTGGGTGGGAGGCGTTTTAATTGGAGAAATGGGCTTCTCGTCCTCAAAGGGATCTTGTAACATAGCTATGAGGTCCTCGACCAGGCTCCCTCCTCTGGGCCCTCCAGGGACCCAAAGGCTGCAATGCAGAGTGAAAACACACACACACACACACACACACACACACACATACACACTCTCTCTCTCTCTCTCCCCCCTCCCCCTCCCCCTTGCCCCCCCCCTCTCTCTCTCTCTCTCAGCCGCAGGAGGGTCAAGAGAGGGGAGGGCCAGGCAGAAAGCTGTCATCTGGTCCACATCTTATATTCTTCTTTGGAGAGGACCTTTCCAGGGTCTCAATGACACCAGCACCCCATTTGGAATTCCCCAGGAGGTCATCCAGAATAGCTCTGCCTATGTGGATGCCACAAAGGTCATTGTTTTGCTTCAGTTTTGCAGTACCTTAAAGCACCAAGGTTGAACCTCTAGGTATGTCTCGGGGGGAGGGGTCCCAACAAGAGGACGCCCAACCTTGCTCAGCTCACCAGAGTGTTTCCTCTGTAACCCAGGCATTGCAAAGACTGTGTCTCCTACTGAGGCGTCCAGCCCAGCTCAGGCCCTGCTACCCCAGTACCAAAGCAGCGCTCTCCGGCATGGGGTGCATAACACGGTGCTCTCAGCAGGTGAGGCCTTCTCTGACTCAGGCGGGCACATGTGAGAAGCTGGGGAAACAGGGGCTGCTCCCCTAAGGGCAGGGTGCCTGTGTGTGGGATCGCCGCGTTCTGCCTTTCCCCACTGCAGTCTCCTGTCCGGTGCTTCCTTTAGCAGAGGCCCGCAGGTCTGTAAAGTCCTCTGCTTCTCCTCTCCTGTCTCTCAGGCTGATGGAGAACAGCACTTTCTGCCAGACTGGGCTGTTGCAGACAGGCAGTGAGGCTGGAGAAACGGCCACAACCAGTGGTGGTAGAAAGAGGGGCTCTAGGAGGCCAGAGGTCTGGCTGCCTGCTGAGCCACCTGTGTCTATCCTCAGAGGAGGCAGAGGAAAGGTGTCTGCGGGGAGGGATGCACCTGACAAATGCCAAGGCTTAGTCATTGCAAGGGGAGTCTCTACCTAGAGATCAAACTGCTTTTCTCTGGACAGCAGGAAGGAAGGCCTTAGCCTGCTCTCCCCACCCCATCCTCTGCCTGCTCTCAGAACTGCACTCAAGGAGGGGCAGAGGTAACCTGAGGTCCTGCCTGACTACCTGCCTTCTTGCCCTTCTGCTTCTCCACCCGGCCTCCAGCCACCCCAGGCCTCACTGCTCCCTGCCTGGCTCGAGGCTCAGACCCAGCCCTTTCCTTTGCAGGCTGCATCTTGGGGGACCCCCCAAACAGAGAGAAGCTGAGGAGGAATTGCACCATCTACCGGCCCTGGTTCTCCCCTTACAGCTACTTTGTATGCAAAGACAGAGAGAGCCACCTGGAGACCTACAGCTTCCCAGAGGTGCAGCAGGACGAGGGCAGGGGGGACAGCTGCCTCCCAGAGGACACGGCTGAGAGCATCTGCTCGTCCTCCTCCTCCCCAGAGAACACCTGCCCCCAAGAGGCCACCAAGAAATCCAGGCACGGCCTGGATTCCACGGACTACATCACATCCCAGGACATCCTAATGGCCTCCAAGTGGTACCCGGCCCAGCAGAACGGCTACAAGTGTGCGGCCTGCTGCCGTATGTACCCGACGCTGCACTCCCTCAAGAGCCACATCAAGGGGGGCTACAAGGAGGGTTTCAGCTGCAAGGTGTACTACCTCAAGCTCAAAACCCTCTGGGGCAAGGAGCAGAAGGGCCGGCCGGGAGACAGGCTTTCCTCAGGCAGCTGCCAGGCCTTCAAGTAGGCCTGCTGGGTGGCGGCAGCTATCTTGTTAGCGGACAACGCTTTAGGTAAACAGGGGATGATGCCTATTTATGTCTCTACAGAGAGGCCAATAAACCAAAGTTAGTGACAGCCTTCTGTCAAGTCTGAGGTCACCCTGTACCACCTGTCCTTCTCAGTCCCTGGTCCCCATCCCATTCCCCTTCTGCTACCAGTTGCCTAGCAACACCAGGCCCATCTCCCTGCCTCTCTTTTTTTTTTTTTTGAAAGACAATACCCAAAGTTTGAGACTATCTTCTAAAATGGTGGTTTTCAAAGTGAAGTGCTCAGACCAGCAGTGTGAGCATCCCCGGGGAATTTGTTAGAAATGAAATTCTCAGACCTGCAGAATCAGAAACTCTGGGGGGTGGGCCCCTCAATCTGTGTTCTAATTGCCCTCTAGGTGATTCTGATGCAGCTCAAGTATGAGAACCACTGTTCTAAGACCCTGGCCTTCCTGTTGGTCCTTCTGTGATTGGTCCTTGCCCTGCACCGTGGGAGAACTCCCACTGAGGGAGAAGGGTTGAACGCCCTTTTCTGTCGGTTCCACCAGCAGAATCTCTGCACAGTTTGAAAGCTTCTTAGGTGTTAGATCTTCTGAAGGGTGGAACAGGGAGGACAACATGCCCCACGCATAAGGCAGAAAAGAGGCAAACAGGGCTGGGGCCCATCCCACCACGTGTACCATGATCCTTCATTTGGAAGGGACATCTCTGGCTGAAGCAAAACAGATCACTTCTGGCCCAGGGGGGTATCTTTACATGGCTCTGTTGAGTCATGTCTAAAAAGCCCAGTAAACATGTGAAAACACTGCTTCCTAGTACCAAGAAATGTCCCAGCAGACAGCCCTGACCCTTATTCCATTTCTGAGCAAACCTCATAGCCAACTCTGACCCAGAAAAATGGATGAGCATCAAGGGTGCAGCAAGGACATCGGTTTTGCCCATTATGTGTTTACAGAAAAAAGAGCTTATGTTTGACGGTCTTATTTTTAGGCCTTATTTTCCTGTCATTTCATCTCCCTAATGCCTCAGTGGGCCCCTTCACTGCAAGGGGGCATTTCCTTTCTGGGACCCTGGCACCAACCCTCCTCTTGTGTCTGCTTCCCCACTGCGTGGCCAATGGGTTAGGGTGGAGGATCTCCCCTTACCCTTCCAGTGGTCACATATTTAAGTCTTCCGAAGCCCCACTTTATAGTTTGGCCGAGCTGCTTCTGCTTATCACTGTTCTGCTAAAATATCATTGGTGGGGGCTTCCCTGGTGGCACAGTGGTTGAGAGTCCGCCTGCTGATGCAGGGGACGCGGGTTCGTGCCCCGGTCCGGGAAGATCCCATGTGCCGTGGAGCAGCTGGGCCTGTGAACCATGGCCGCTGAGCCTGTGCGTCCAGAGCCTGTGCTCCGCAACGGGAGAGGCCACAACAGTGAGAGGCCCGCGTACCGCAAAAAAAAAAAAAAAAAATATATCATTGGTGGTTCTTTTGTGAGAAACAGGCTGGCTCACACCCCCATCACACACCAGTCCCTTGCTGTGAGAGCACTCCCAGTCCTGCACCCAGCTCCCCACTCTTTCCCTCACCCTCCACCCACTAAGTCAGAGTCCCAGAGTCTACTTGATTTGCAGGCTCCAGCTGGCCTGGGAGCCAGGACATGCAGGGTCCCACCCACTCACTGAGGGGCAGGGTGGTCTTCAGGCAGCCCTGACATTATTCCATTGCTTCCAGGGCCCGGTTCCCGGAGGGAGCAGATGACTGACTCTGGCGAGTCTTTAGTCCTCACTCTGACCTCCTGCTTTCCTAAATGGAAAGGCCACCGGAGCCCCCGGAGGCTTCTCCTTACAGACGCTGCTGTGCACGTGTGCCCCCTTGACAGGGCTCCTGAGGGAGTACAAGGAGGGGGACACGGAATGGACTTGAGGAGACCGGTCGCAGTCTCAGCATGGTCTGTGGCAGGACCAGGTGCGGAATCACTCCTCATCTGGTCTCTCTCCCTCTGCCCAGCCCTCACTCCCTCCTCTAGGGCATCCACATCATGGGCACAGAGCACAGCTTAAAAAAAAAAAAAAAAAAAAAAAGGGGGGAGAGAGAGAGAGAGAAATCCACCCAAAGGCCAGGGACTGAGCCCAAGGGCCACAGCACATGCTAATCACGGCCTGGCAGGTGCGAGAATTTAGCGTTTTCTCCCTAAGGACAGGGTACTTTCCACCTTTCACATCTAACGTAGGGTCATGATGATCCCAGTAGCTTTCTCAGTACAGAGCTCTGAATAGTTTCCGCACAGCAGAAAATGCACGCAGAGCACAACTGCACCGAGCAGAACAAACACGCCCCCCCCTCCCAGTTAATGAGGGGGTAAACGGTACTGTGCCCTGGGCCACTGCCAGGCATTCTGTTGGGTGCTTCTAAAATACGATCGCATCTGCTCTTCATTATAGCCTTATGTGGTGTGTTGTATTCCCATTTTACAGGTAAGAAAGTAAGGCTCAGTTCAGTTCACTCAGCCCGAAAAGGGCAGAGGATATGTGACCCTGGTTGATCTGACCCTCCAACTTTCCTTCAGGCCTGGCCTACCAAAGTATCAGGTTTAACGAAAACTCTGCCTTCAAAACGGCTACGCGTTCCAGTCAGGGGAGCCTGGTTTTCACGATGTGGGTTTTGCGAGAGCCTGCAGCTCCATATTTCTCTAACATCCCTCTCTGCCAGCATCCCTCCTGCCCTTTCACTTCTACTCCCTGCAGGGAAGCCCACATCTCAATGAGTCAGGCCTCCTCTGCTGAGCTGTGTTTCAGCGACACCATAACCCTTCTAGGCAGGTGTGGGAAGAAGTCTGTTTGCCTCCAGTATGGACATTCCTGGAATGGGCCCATCCAGAAACCTACCAACTACATACTTCAGACATTTAGTCGGGGAGTCAGTGAAATTTTATAATCTTGATGATCTTAATTATATCTGAAAATATCTATGATGTACTTTTTCAAGCACTCAAAACTTGCTGCTGCCGCCAGTATAGTCCAGTGATGTCTGGAGTTTGAAAAGACCTGGGGTTTGGGAGAGTCCAAAAAAAAAAAAAACAAACAAAAACGGGTATAGCCTAGGCATTACTGACATTTTGGGCTGGATAATTCTTTGTGGTGGGGCTGTTCTGTTCACTGTAGAATATTGAGCAACATCCCTGGCTTCCAACCACTATGTGTCAATAGCCTCCTTCCGAGTTGTGACAACCAGAAACGTCTCCAGACGTCACCGAACATCCATCCCTTGGGGGAGCGAAATCGCCCTTGGATAAGAACCGTTGGTACAGCCCGATCCTGCAAGGCTGGTCTGAATCAACTGCCCCTGAAGGCACCACCTTCCCCAGCTCCTTGAAGGCACACACGAGTTCTTTCTAAACACCACACACCCTTGGGAATGGTGCGTCACAGAGCTGATGCCACCGGGCTCGGGAAGTTGGGAGGCGGGTGGGGGAAGGAGCAGGTAGAATAGAAAAGGCAAGAAAAGACAATGGAAAAGCTTTTAGAAACAAGAAAGGTTTATTTAGCAAAAGCCACTAGACTAGTGACAACATCCAGGGAGTAAGTGCACTTAACATGAACAGAATCTTTTCCCAGAGAGTTGATCCAACAGAGTTAATGCCACACAGTTTCAGGAAGTAGAGCGTTCAGGGGGAGGGGGCAGAGTGGGAGGAAGCAGTCAGGCAAAGAGAAAATAAAAGGAACACAACCCCTAAATGAGAGTTGAGAGAAGTGAGGCTATGAAGAGGCTTTATAGACAGCATTGGTATAAGCAGGAATATGATTTTCAGTCCCAATATACAGTCCATCCTGTGCAGAGAAGTTCTTTCCTGGCTCCGCAACTGTGGGAGCCTTGTGTACGCAAGAGTCTGCTGGCACCCAGGAAAGGCTGGGGCAGGTACAGTAAGGGAGGCGCCCCTGGTGTCCACTTGTCCTCCATACAGGGCAGAGTAGAAGGATGAAAAAGAGGGGGGCAGGAGTTGAGTTAGCAGAGCAAGAAGCAAGGAGAGAGGAGGACAGGGTGACATCGCTCGGAGATCAGGTCTGCAACATTCCCTTTCCTTCCCAGTGGCTGGTGACCCTTCAAGGCCCCTAGATCTGTCCTTTGTCTCCTTCACCTCCAACACACCTAGTGCGCGCTGGTGTGGGCTGCCAACACACAAACCAGTGCTCCAGGGAGGGCCTGAACTGGGGAAAGAATGGGGCCGAGGTGGGTGGAAACCACTGCGGGGTACCCCGAGGGCAAGGGTCTTAAATGGGTCCCAAGTCAGCGGTACATAGAACTAGTCTCTCCAATTCTTCAACCTCTCCACCGTCTCCTTTCTTCCTTCCCTTGGCAAGGTTTTCAAGACCCTTTTAGAAACTATCCCCCCCACCCACTCTTCTCCCCATCCCAAAGAAGCCTTCTCCTACCACATTCCACACACCTAATCCACTGGCCTCTGGCTTTGTCCTCAGCCCCTGCTTGCAGGCAGTGGGCCTGGAGAAGCCAGACCTTCCACTCCCCTGAACACCCCAAATTCTAACGAGCTAAGAGGTCCCACACTCAAGGAAGCCCGGGTAGAATTTTGTAAGCTAGCTAGAGAGGCTCAGCCAAACCGGACTCCTAACCTCTCTCCTTTGATTTCATGGTTCTTCCTTCCCTTGTGTACCTGGACCTACTTCCAATGATTAATTAGAAAGTATAACAAAAACAGGACCACCTCTCTCCAACCAAATGCACATTAGAAAAAGAACACAAATCTACTGTTGATTCAAACACCCTGGAGATTCCCATTCTCTTCTCTCTGGTCACTTCTCACAAGGCTATGCACACGTATACACCTTCCCTCACACGTGTGTGTCAATGCCAGCACACGTGTACACACATGCACACACACACGCACCCGTCCCATTCCACTGACACCCTCGTGCACCAAGGAAGGCTAACACAAAGCTACATTTATTTCCTTAATTTGGACTTTCTGGTCTAGAAGAAATCCAACTGTAGCTATAAGAAAAGATCTGCACTTTCATTTCTATATTTTATAAAGCCAAGTTAGGCTTGAAGAACTCAATTTTGCAACCACATCCTTACCAACTGATCCCCAAATAATAGTGCAGTCTGGGTCTGTGGTTTGCTGTCCAAGATAAAGACTTATTTCCCCAACACTTGGCACTAGCATGTCTCAGCTCTCTCTTCAGGCACCTTTAAATCTGTTAACAGCCACTTAGGGCCTTATTGGAACCAAGGACAAGTAAGCTAGCCTTCCCTGCCCCAATCAGCTCACTGTACCAGGTGGCAATCTCTAGGCCTAGATGGTAAAAGAGAATTGCACCTGGCACTTTTTACAGGTGTGCTCGAGGCATGCATCCACAGGGAGACAGGTAAAGGGCAAAGTGACTATCGTTTCTGACTTAAGTGGCAGTGATTCTGAAGAGTGGAGTTGAGTGGTCTCAGCTACCAGTCTCTGTTTGCTTTTTTTTTTTTTCACTACTGCGCAGTGGAAGGGACAGGTTGAGAGGTAAGGCTGGGGGCTCCGGGTCTCTGAGGCTTTTATAGAGGCAAGAGTGCTACAAAGGCTTCAGCTGGCACAGCCCCTGAGGCAGGACACAGGGGAGAGAGGGCAGCTTTCCAGCCTCCATGTGGACGAGCTGGACTTGCAGGCAGGCGGTGGGCAGGGCATCCACGCTGAGGAGTCAGACCTAAGTGATCTGGGGCAGGCAAGAGGTTGCCCTCCCCACGGGCTTTCACGGCAAGCGCCTGAATGACAGTAAACTCCCAGTCTCCCTCAGGAGCAACACCTGAAGCCCACCTAGAGAAAGTGATTGGCTCCAATTCATCTGAAAGCTTATCCCCGCAATGTGACACATCCCAATTCCACGTTCACACTGAAAGGACTATCCTGTCTTTCAGCCTAGAGCGTTCGACCTCTACAATCTTTGCAAGGGCCTAGAGAAGGAATTCCTCCCACGAAGGCCGGGGAGAGTTAGGCAATTGGTAGCATCCTGATATCCAAACACGAAGTACCTGAGAAGGTACCGATGGCTTCCCTTCATAGTCGGGACCACAGAAGTAGGGGGGGGCGGCGAGGGGGCATCACACGACAGAGCAGGGGAGCCTGATGATGCAGCGGGCAGGGAGCAGGTCCTTCAGCAGCCTGGTGGTCCTCAAGAGGGACCCTCTCCCAAAGCCATGGGCTCTGAGAGGCCCCTTGCCCAACCCCCATCCACCCAGTAGTCGCAAGCAGGAGGCAGGACCTGATTCACTTCTGGGAAGCCAATGTCTTCCCCACTTGACCCTCCAAAGCAAGGCCCTAATCCTTTTCTGAAACTGTAAACGCTTCGGGGCCCCTGGGTATCCTCAGCGGTGCGCATTCGCCGGCAGCCCCTACCCGGGCAGCAGCCAGACTTGGCCCCTCCACACCTCGGCCACGGCCTCCGCCTGCTAGCACCACAGCACCTACACGGCGATCTCATCGTCCAGGCTGTCGCCCAGCTCCTGCCTCTGCAGGACGTTCCGCAGGCGGGGCAGCTCCTCCTGGGACCACGAGTCGCGTTCCTCGCTCTCGTCCGTGTTGGATTCGTACTCCGAGGCGATGCCTGACTCTCGGAACTTGATGAGCTCCAGGCTGCCCAGCAGCGGCTCACCCTGAGCAGGGGGCGGGGTGTCCTCGGGCGGGAGAAAGCGGAAGCACTCCAGCTTCACCAAGCAGTCGCGCCTACCTAAGGGGCTGCCCACTGGGTGGGCGAAGTCGGCCAAGCCCGCGCCCAGGGGCGGCGAGTGCAGGTCCTCTGGCTTCGGGGTCGTGGGGTCACAGAGCACGGGAAGAGCTCCAGAGCGGAAGGTGATCTCCAGCAAGCTATCCTGGGAGCCCACTGGAGGTGGGGGAGAAGAGGGGGAGGGGGCGACATTAGCAAGGTGCTTGGTCTGGAAGCCACCGTTGGCCCACCCAGGTCCCTGGCCAGTTGAGCGAACCCTCACAGGGGCTCTTCAGCCCTTCCTTCCACCCCACACAGCACAGACACGCCAGGCTGAAGGGGACGAGCTCAGGGGAGGTGGTAAGGGCAGGGCAACGATAAGCGTGTCATCAGCTGGTGAGGTCCGTGGACGCCTTGAATGGGGTGTGTGGTAGGAAGAAGGTACCAACTGAAGAGCTACCTTAAAAGCATGTAGTAACACTTGGTGCAACCTTGTAAACTGGCATTAATTAGAATACAACAGGGCCTTGATTAACAAAAAATAAAAATCCAGAGAGGCTTTCAGAGCGGTGAAGTACAGTGGTTCCCAATCCATAACTTTGGGCCACTTTAAAAACACAGAGTTATCAGCCCTGCCCCAGATCTACCAATGCAGAACCTCTGTGGGTTGGATCTGGGAATATCCATTTTTTAAAAAGCTCACGGGATCGTTTGGGAGAACTACTGGTATAACAGGGAAAGCATTAGACCTGGGTCTGAATCTGGGCTCCACACTTTGCTAGGCCTGAAACTGTGGGCTGGTTACTTAACCTCTCTGAGTCCGTTTCCTCATCTGTAAAATGGGCACAGCACCGCCTACCACTATAGGGATTAAATGAGATTATGTATACGATCAATGGATATTGGTCCACAGCCAGTGCACACTTAGAGCAGCAGACAATCCAGGGACAAGCTCAGGAGGAAGGGGTGGAGACACGCTGTCTTCTAGTACTTCTCAGTGCAGCCTGGGGGCGGCTGGGAGTAGAGGCAGGCATCTCAGGCCGGGAGCCGGGCAACCTCTGCCACTAATCAGCAGAGCTAGCTGGCCACAGCTCACTCCTCTGCCTTATCCATTAAACAGACGGACTGCTGCCAGCCTTTTCTATGCTGCCGAGTTGTCAAATAGTGCGGGGAGAGTAAACTACCAAACAGTTCGATGTCTCCTGCAGAGCTCACAGAGACCACGATTCACGATAGGTGCTCAGCGTGTTTCAACCGGAAAGGCCCTCTGAGAAAGAAACGGGCAGCCCCAGCTTACGTGTAAAGAGCCCGGGCCCCCATCGAGGAGAGGCTGGGTGAACATGTGCTCGTGACTCCCGGGGACTTTCAAGGTCAAGTCTGGGCACTGGGCTAGAAGGCAGCCAAGCCCCTCTCTGGCCCTGCCTTTTTATAACTCCATGAAATGTACGAATGGGACAAACAGAGCTGCCTTTGTTTTCTGCTGGGATACCAGGTCAGATCAGGGGTCCAATAAAGCACCACCAGAAAGCTTTAGGGAAGAGAACATGTGGTTCCAGAGCTTCCCCATGGAGGTGAGGCTGGGCAGGGCCCCGGCTTACTGGCGTTCTGTCCCGACAGCTTCAGCTCCAGCTCCTGCACCTGCTTCACCAGCAGAGAGATGTGCTGAAGCATGTCCTTGTTCTGCAGCAGGAGCTGGTGCACGCGAGCCTGGGCCTCCAGCCGCGCCGCAGCCTCAGCAGCCAGCTGGTCCTTCAGTAAGTGAACCTGCAGGGGAGGAGCAGGCAGAGGAGACAGCGAGAAGACAGGACAGAGAGAAGGGAGGCACGTGAATGCAAATGCGAGTCACTGGTGGACGGCCAGGACCAGAGACACCTTCCACGTTCAATTCGAGACAAAGAAGCCCTGCCCCGGGCAAAATGGGCACCCGGGCTTGCAATTCAGAGGAGAAGCCAAAAGAAGCTGCTCGCTGGATCTCTCTCTGTCCTGAGTGAGGGCCACGATGTGTCACTCATGTACGACTCAGAGCCCCACACCACGAGCAAACGGTAGGAAAGAGTTGGGCCCCAGACCCTGCCCCCGCTCCATCCCTGTCGGAACTCCTCTGACAGCTAACGTATTACTGCTGTGTTGAGGCAGGTACATTTTTCTTGTCTTTTAAAAAACGAAACCAAAAACTGATATACTGACCCACTAGCTAAGAACAGTGTCACAGTAAACCCCCTGCAATCTTCCCTCTTCCCTTCCTCGCATCCAAATACCGTGAGAAATAGGAAGCCCTACACGTGCCCTTTCTAAGTCAGTGAAATGGCTGTCATGGTCTGTGTTTCCACATCTGTGGGTGAGTGTCAGCTCCCTTCCCTGACCTTCCATTCCCTTTTTATTTCTCAGGGCACCTGGGAGCATGCTTCATACCTGGCAAATGTCAAACGTTTGCTGACTGACTCATAACAGGGCCTCATCCAGCAACCCCGGCAGGGCTGAGGTAAACAGCTTTACAGAGACGCCCTCTATGAGAAGAGGGGGACCCTCATCAACTCTCGCCTTCTCATGGTAGAGCACCTGGCAATGGCATACCCCGAATGCTCAGGGCCCAGTAGGGTCTGCTCTTCGTGCGCAATCTGGGTGTGGGGATTCAATTCAGTGGGAGGAGAGGTGGGGTGATCCTGTCAGGACCCTGGTTTGAAGAAACTGAGTCACGAGATGATGACAATGTTTACACATATGGGATTTTTCTGCTAAGAAGTGGATAAAGGGGTCTCTAGGAGGGTTTCTGAAGGTCCCTGAATAAGCACAGCTGATGAATTTGGTGGCCTGGACCAAGGCATGTGGGAAAGAGCGTTTTCTTGAACCGAAAACATGGTGTGGATAAAGACACAGAGTCAGGGTGAGCAGGGTGGGAGAGCTGCAACCAGGAGCGGAGGAGAGAGAAGGAAGGAACTGGAAAAGCCAATTCTCTGGCTCAGACAACAAATGCTCTGGATTTCTGAAGGGTAATCCGCTCCAGAGAGATTCACGTTCTATCAGGGAGTAAAAGACCATGTCCGCCCCACCGTCTGGCCAAGCCTGACCCAGGGTCCTGCCAGCCCTCCCAGCAGCCAGCACGCGGAGATCATACTCTTGGATGTAGCGGCTGCTTCTCCCGCTGCCCGGATTTAAGGACCTGATCCTGCAGTTGGCTCTGCCTCTAAGTGGGGCCACTAATGAGATTAGTTGCCACTTTCCATTAGTGGCTCCCAAGGTGAGGCCGATCTTTCCCTCAGTGGTTGGGGCGGGGTGGGGGGGGCGGATGCCTAAGGAATGTAAAGTAAATCTGTTCTCCACCAGGTGCTGCTAAGGACAGAACTGATACTTTGGTCCAGAAATCAGCCTCATCTGTTGCCTCAGATAATCTAAAGAGAGATCTAGAGAAGGGTGAGAACAGAGAAAAAAGAGTGGCAATAATATTTCAATCTGGATATCAGATGGTGGATGGCTATTAAGCCTCTATCTTCCCCGGAAACTGAGGCATGGAGGTAGTTCACCCGAGAGTCCCTCAGATCCTGTTGCTTCTGAGAAACAGGACAGTTGCTGTGGGAAGCCCACCCCCAGAAGGGCCCCCAGAGGAAAGGCCAACCTTAACCTTCTATCTGCAAGTAATGTAACTTATTCCAACTAAGAGTATCATTGAAAGGAATGTACCGAGCAGACAGAATTGCTAATTATCCATTTTCTATTTTCTTTGGAACAAAACCGAGACATTAGGCATAAATGTGGAACAAAACTTTCAATGCATGTAAACAGAAAACGTGCAGAATCCTGCCTACCGCTAACTGGCATCTCTGGAGGGTTCCCTGCACACACATGCTACGACTCGGGTGCCTGAACCCCACATCTGAACATCCCAACGGAAGCTGGAACACTTGAGTCTGTTGGTTACTCCCTATGCAACTGCAGGTAATTCACTTCTACTTGGACCTCCCTTTCTCCATCTTTCAACTGAGAGCGTTGGCTAGAGGCTCGGACAGTCTGTGATTTCACATCCAGGTGTATGGAGTGGTCAGTACCAGGGGCCATTCACTAAAGGCTCACTGAAGAACATCTCTAGATTTCCACTGGGAAGTCAGAGAATTAGGACTGGGAACAAAAGAGGAATTCCCTCCTGCAGAAGCCAGGGGAAAACAAATTGGAAGTTTCTTTTGCAGGTAACCATTCTAGTGATGGGGGTACAGTACATAAGAGACGACCCTTGCATCAAATGCTTTCATCACAAATCCACTGGCACTCAGCACCATGAAAAATGCCGTGTCTGAGTCCTCCTCGTGCCAGACTAAATAAGAACTTTAGCTTTGCAAACGTAGTTATAACATTTCGGGCATTTTCAAACCCTGGGAATGAGAAAGCACAAGCTGCTGCTGCCGCCTAAACCCAGCGCTAACGAGCCCTTCTGCTCCTGCAGCCGCCAAAAGTGGCAGCAGGCGTAAGGCTCCGACCTGTCGCTGCAGCAGTCTGCACACCACAGGAGAACCCAGACCAGGCCAAGCTGGGACAAAACAGCCAAGACTTCCTTTAAATGTGAGGCAATTTAATAGTCCCTGTGTTTTGCATATGTGGGCCTGGCCCTGAAGCACCAAAATGAGGCAGCGTTATTTTCAGCCTTGGCTCGGGCAGACAGCTACAGCTGTGTGCTCACTTCCTCCATGGCGCAACAGGAGCAGATAACACCGTCCCTCCCCTACCAGGCGGGACTTATTTGTACTCAGCACACTCTTAAAGCATCGGACACCTTTCGCAAAGGTAGGCCATATCAATTTCTGGAAAGGCAGGAGTCAGCCTGGCCTTTCCAGAGCTGTGTGGTCTTTGGCAATGACTTATTCTGGTCACGATCTAAGTCCGCGGGAGGGCCACGCCTGGAGGGCGGTGTCCAGTTCTGCATTCCTGCCACAGCACTACAAGCGTAAGTTCGACCCTGTGCCCTCCAGCTGGGGTGCCACTTCCCAAAACTCAGATACCCACCCTCAACCCACCCAGCAACACCAGACCACTGCCCACTGGCTCTCCAGCCTACTTGCCTGGACTCCAGCTCCTCCGCGAGAAGTGGGGGCAGGCCCAGGCTGAAGTTAGGGAGCGGCAGGCACATGGAAATGGCAGTGAGGAGAACCAGAGCGATTTGCCCACACACACACCGGACACACAAGCGGAGGCAGGCAGCGCTGTCTCAGCATGCACAAGGCAGGGGACCTGGGCAGTGCACCCAGGGCGCTGGGGACTGGGGGAAGCCACGAGGCCAGATGCTAAAACTAGGGCCTCGGCGGGGTGTGGAGGGTTTTTAGCGCTGTTCCTCTAACTACGGCATACACAATTGCGAAGCATAGGTAACCAACCACTTGTCTCAGAACAAGTGCAAGTGGCACAGGTAGAGGAGAAATCTTTAAATAGCAACACTGAGCTGCGGTATAACATTTTCCCCATGAGCTAGGCCAGGAACTGGCAAACTGTGAAGGAGCCTGGCCTACTTAACTGTTGCCAGTCAGCCACAGCGCCTGGATCAATTCTGGAGCTGTGTGGGCCCAGCCCGTGGCCATGCGGGCGCCAGCTACATCCCAGCTTTGGTTCAAGGCTTGGCTATACTCTCGTTCGCACCCTTGAACTTCTGGTCCATCTAAAAGCAGGAAGCTAGTGCAGCCAGGCAAGCCTCATGCTGGGTTAGGGAAAGTGGTCCAAAGGGCTTGGGGTTCACTATTTACACACTTATATCTAATCTAGAAATGCTTTTAAGAGACAGCTGAGCGAAACCTTTGCCTGGATACCTTTAAGGCCAGGACAGGCCCTTTCTAGGCCAGCTCTGAACCAGTTTAGGGAGAGGCTGGGAGAGATCTTGAGGTCTCAGGCCAAATCAGAATGCTGTGAAGGAGATCTAAGCCTAGCCCCATTGATAACAGTAGAACCAGACTGGCCTGTGAGAATAAATGGGGGAGAGGGGCATAAATCATGCAACAAGGGACCCCAAGAGTGCACCTGTTTGCAAGAAACCATCTTTATCCTTAGCTCTTCTTGGGAGCCACACAGGAGGACTTGGATGCCCCAGAGCAAAGGAAAATACGTTCCCACTGAAGTGCTGAGATCACAGTATTACCCATTGGAATTCTGAGGACTGCTGGTAGTTTAACGAAGAAAGAAACCTTGCAGTTTGATGGCAGTAGAGTCTGACAGAACAAGTAAAAGCTGACCTCATACTGGACACTGTGCAGAGAAACCAAGTATGCCAGATTTGATATGTTTTAAATGCATGAAAGATGTCAAGAAGACCTATCTATTAGTCCACCTATGTATCTTATATCGTTTATACCCAAAGATATGGATACTAATAAAAAGCCCTTGGATCAAATGCTACAAAGAGAGTGGGAGAGGAACACGCAGAGAAGCCTGTCGCTGAAGGCTGGTTTAGGACTGAATCGGTCCGGAGGACAGGGGAGCTGAAAGCCAGTTGAGAGGTTACAATAATACGGCTGCTTCATTCCCGGGCAGCAAAGGAAGGGGCAAACTGAAGAGACTGCTTATGAGGAAGGGAGAGAAGGGCAGAGGAATCTGCTCCAGAAGCTCTCTGAAGACCTCAAGGTGCTGTCTGACCTGAAGATTTTAGAAGTCTACGTCCCTACCCCAAGTCATTTCATCCATGTGGGATACTGATGCACTCTGGTGGCCTTTCAATCATGTCACTGCCTGAACTGAGACTCAACCAGGACACCACCAACTATAATCAACAGATTCCAAGTGCAGGAGAGGCTGAGGGTGTCCAGCCTGTGGAAGTGGCTGGAACCGAGAGAGGCTCATCAAGTGAACTGCAAGCACCATGATCTTCCCCTCTCCTAGCTTCACTGTCTTCAAGGACAGAGGCAATTAAAATAGGGCCAGGGCAGTGACGCCTGCTTGAGACAGATGCTTGATTCTGGGCCAGAGAACCACTCTTAGGCTTTCATCCTGACTGTGGGAGACTTACAGGTCTTGTGGCTTCGCTGAGTACGTTAACTGCCACAGCACTCTTCTTGTGCAGACTGTACATGTGCAAACAGTTTCTCTTTAGTATTAAGCAGTGACTTCACATTCAAATGCCTCTCCGATAATATTCACCATGAATACACATCAAGCCCGTTCTTAGATAAATAATAATTACTTGGCAACTGATATGCTGAAGGAGAAAAGTATCATGGCTGGAGGATGGATTTATATTTAATGGGAAACTTTGGAAATGACATGAGTTGCTGAACGGCCCCGTGCTGCAGCACGCCGGCTTTCTGCTCCTGTCAGCCATCACACCTGGGAGGAGGGGATTCTCGGGACAGCCACTCCGTTAGTAACTAGAGGAGATGAACTGTGTTATCTGACAAAATGCGATGATTTTTCCCCCCAGTATAAGAAGCCATTAATGACACTCCTCCTCTTTGTTGCTGTTTTGGGAACACCTGCGAATCCTCCTAGAATTAGCGCACATCCTTTTGGGTTCATGGTCTGGATTTTTAAAAAGGTTCAAATCCCTTGGAAGCAGTGCCCTACTGATCTTACTCTCTTGAAACCTGGCTGCAAAAGGCACCCATGAGGCTGGGCCTCAGGCCCAGGTCAGGGTGAGACTGTTACAAAGAAGGTCTTTTCAAGACCCAAGTCATTGCATCGTTCTGGGTAGGCTGCTGGATGCTTCCTCAAGGGGTATGTGTTGGAAAGGACGGCTCCGCCTGGGTGATTCACTCCACCCAAGGGTCACGAGACGAGTAAGGAGAAGAAACGATGAGGCTCGATAAGAGCTCCCTAGAGAAGTCTTCGTGTTCTCATTCAAGAACGCAGAAGGCCAGCCTGGTCGACCAGATGTAGAATGTCGATGCATAGAGCTGCCTTTCCCGATCTCTCACCAACTCTCCAAAGCCTGAAGACCCCACCTTCCTCCTCACTGTCTCCATCTACCCACCCAGGTCCTCACCCTGTCTGACTCCTACCACAGAATTCAGCCTGTAAACGGTACAAGTGATTGTGTCTTCACTATTCCCCGACTGCCCATAGAGAAGATGAAGCTCGGGCTCACAAGTTCCAAGGAAGATGTGGACTCTACCATGCCCTGCACAGAAAGCAAGCGAAAGGCATCCCTGCTAAAAGCAGCAGGGAAATCAGCTCACCCCTCCTTTCTAAAGCAGCAGCAGCAGCGCAACACGTCTTCAGGGCTCAAACAGCACTTGGCTCCTGAAATCTAAGCCAAGTCTTCTCATTATGGCTCAAATACTACGCCTAAGTTCCTGTAAGTTAAATCCCAATATAATGAACTCCAGGCCAGTATGGTATCAAATTCTGCTTGGAGAAATCTTTAAAAAAAAAAAAAAGTCCTTCCTGGAATGCGTAGATGACTAACAGAGGCATGGAAATCCCTATGGACAAGGTTTCCAGGGTGGTAGCTTCTGCAAGGGTGTTTGGGACAAATTCATACTTTAAACTCTTTTAAGAGTGGTATCACAAAGTCACATCTGTCCTGACTCCAGAGGCGTCCCTTCCCACCCCAAACACCAGCAAATGAAGGTAGGAAAGAAAGGGTGAAATTATGTGCATCTTGTTCCTTAGTAAGTTCAAATCATTATCCAACAACATCCAGCCAAGCCAGCCAAGCCCAACTCAGAGCGGGGGTACACGGGAAGCCAAAACACTTCTTCCCATTTCTACCGCGTCCCCCATCTCTCCCCTCCCTGCCGCCCCCACTCCTCAACAAGCAACGACCCAACAGCGGGAGCCATCCCTCACAGCTCGCTAGGTTGTAAACCTGCCCTGTGCCCCTTGCTAAGGAAGGCGCGTCAAGCCCATGAGAGTGGAGCCTGCGAAGTAGGGAGGAGGCTGAGGAGAACCTGGGCCACAGCCACTTGTGTCTGTTGCTGCTGCTGCTGGAGGAGCTGCTGGAGGAGCTGCATCTGGTGCTGGGTGGACAGCGGCGTGCCCGCGCCCAAGCCCGGGGGCTTCGAGGAAGAAGTGGGAAGAAGCATCCTGGGCGAGGCTGTCAGCATGGGCTCCTGGGGGCGGGCTGAGACCTGGCGGAGAAGAGGAGACACGGCGTGACCCTGGGCAGGCGCCACCTTTAGGGGCCTCGCTCTGCCTTTAATACATACAGCATGTAGGAGGGTGGGGTGAAATGGCCCGCTTTTAACCAAGAGCTGGAAATGCTACGTCCTTTTTTTTTTTTTTTTTTTTTGGCTGCATTGGGTCTTCATTGCCGTGCGTGGGCTTTCTCTAGTTGCGGGACTACTCTTCATTGTGTGGGCTTCTCATTGCAGTGGCCTCCCTTCCAGAGCACGGGCTCTAGGCATGTGGGCTTCAGTAGTTGTGGCACACAGACTCAGTAGTTGTGGCTCTCAGGCTCTAGAGCACAGGCTTACTGTTGTGGCGCACGGGCTTAGCTGCTCCGCGGCATGTGGGATCCTCCCGGACCAGGGCTGGAACCTGCGTCCCCTGCATTGGCAGGCGGATTCCTAACCACTGCGCCACCCGGGAAGCCGCAATGCTACGTCTTCAGTGGAAATGTGGACAGACTCCCACAGAGGAGATGATGATCTGATGGCCTGGGCTGGGACCACAGAGTCAGAAAACCCTATCTGGACACCTGATGCCATGTGATGGGAGACCAGGCAGCTGAGATCATCCTATCACTTGCCCATAGCTTCCAACTATACCATGTTGTTGAGTCACTTGAGGTTCTGGACTTAGAGGAATCTGTCTCTATGAAAGATAGCTACCTACCACCCCACTACGGGGCGGCTTCTACCTTTACTTTGCTGTGTTCTTAGGGCTCCCTCTTCCAGGCTCTGCAGGGTTCTCCTGGGCTGGCCACAAGTGAGGGAGGCGCTCCAGCCCAGCACGGCCTCCTCTCACAGTGAGAGCCACCAGGGAAGCAAGTCGGGACACAGATAGTGGTCTGGAGAGATCCTCTCTCTGAAAGGGGAAAGCAGTTTCTATTCCCTTCCCTCCTGTCTCCCTCCTGGTAGTTGGACACTTTCATTAAGACGGTTTCTGTGAGCCAGAGAATTCAAGCACAGGGTTGAATTTGATTTCTGGCAGCTCTGCTGCTGGTCCTTTTTCAGATGTGCAAGAGTGCACCCAGTGACAGAGGGCTTTTGCCACTTGCAGAGTACAAATTGGGCACCAAAGAAGATATCAGGCAGACAATCTGGAACAACATTGCCCTTCAAACTAGACAGGTTTCTCCTTCTGATGAACTAGCCTAACGACTTCCACTTCAGAAAAGGCATTGCATGGTGAGGAAAGAGAGGCACTCCTGATACAGGGGACTGGCAGGGAATCTACAGGAAGGGGAATTTGTCAGTATTTTCCTCCTGTTGGCAGGGGTGAGGGGGGTGCAGGGGGGGGTTGTTTTGTCTTCGGGTTGGAGGTTCTTAGTTTCTTAACCTGGATCCTATCAGGGACTCCTTGAGGGCGTCCATCATCTCACCCGTACGATACGAGGTTGAAATTGATGACGCCTGAGGTGGTCTGCCAGTTTCTAACCTCCAAGGGACCAATCTCCAGCCTCCCCAGGCGCATCAAAGGCACACAACCGCTAGCTGCAGGCAGAGGCAGCCCTAACTCACTCTGCTCCTTCAGCTAAGCCCCCGGGGATCATGTCACATTGTGCAAGGATTAGCCATGCACAGGTATTGTGCAGCGACAAGGTGCCATTAAAGGTGGGGCTTCCACTGAGAAGAAGGGGACCCAGTGCTGATGGGACCCTGGAGGGTGGCGCGCATCAGGAATGAGCTCTGTGACATCCTGACACTCAGCAGCGTCTAGCATCAACACACGGGGACTGAATCTCTAGAAGTTAGGCCCCTCTGAAAGGAAGTAAAACATGCTCTGGAACCACCACGGTGCTGGGGAGCGCCTCACTCTAAAGGTGACCCGGCAGGCGCTAAGAGGTGACTGACAGTGGCTGAGGCTGTGACACAAACTGCTCTGGGAGGTGATATGCGTGCAGACCACCTGGGTGGGCCACCTCCGGCTTACCTTGGAGTCTGTATGGGAGCCTCCTTCCTTCCCTACCGCGTCGAGGTCAGTCACACCTCGGCTGAACTCCAGGGCATCATTCCCTGGGAGCGGGACCTCAACTGCATCGATGTCCGTCTCCTCTGCGGTGGCCGTGGAGGCCCTCTCGGCTCCGGTGAGCTGGCGGCCTACAGGGACAACAGAGAGGGTAGGGAAGGGGTACAGTCACACTAAGAACAACGTCCTACTTTCCCAACACTTTAGTTTTCAGCTGTGTCACGCCTAGGGACGCCACTGGCTTTGTAACGTTTTCACATATCTTTTCACTCAAGTCTGTTAAATTTCCAATCCAATAAAATGTTCTCATTTTGATATCCTTTTAAAGTCCAGAAACAAAGACACCATTTCCTCAAGTCTGCACATGACTGCTTTGCCATGCTCCTAATGGGCTGTCAGATAAGGGGTAAATCACCTCACTCCCTGGGCCCCAGTTCCTTCAACTGTATAGTAGAGGCTGAGTTAGGTGGGTGGGAGGGTTGCAGGCCTGAAAAATAAGGACAAGGAGATCCGAGGCCCCATCCCACACAGTACATCAGTCTCCCATCCTCAGAGCCTGCCTCTGACCGTCCCCCAGGAGCAAAATCTAGGGAAGGGCCCTGGAGAAGGCGGCAGTGGCAGAGGAGAGACAGGTGGCTGGTTTTCATGCCTTGTCTTGTCTATTTCCCACTTGCCCCTTCCTACCGAAGACAGTGACCATGTCTTTGATCACACGCTCAGCACGTGTATGAAATTCCTACTGTTTCTTATTTTTCTTCATTCCCTGTTCCTCTCTCTTTCCTGGGCTCTATAAAAACACCTGGCAATTCTCAGGCATTTCCCAGGAAACATTTTTTTTTTCTCTACATTTGGGATTAGGTTCATCACTACTGTCTTCAAATAAAACTTCTTAAAAGGCTTCAGAGACCAAGCACCAATCATAAAACTACACAGGCTAATGTAAGTAGCAAGTATGAAGAGTTGATTCCCTAACCCTAAGGCCAACCCAGGGAGCCAGGCTTTGGTCATTTGAGGGCCTGCCTTGTAGAACAAATAGTCCTAACAAGTCTTCTCATGCAAACCCATACGAGTCATCGGGGGAAGCAAGGTGGTATTTAGAAAGCCAACAGTGTGCTTGGTTTTCTTCCTGGCTGCTCTGGGAGCTGGGAGACGGACTGCTAAGGGTTGCAATGGCATGTAACAGAAAGGAGGGCCCTGGACCATGGCCTGGCAGGGCAGCTCTTCTGCTCCTTTGTAAAGCAGCCGGCAGGAACATAGGGAGTGGGCTGCTTCCTACCATCTCCTGCACCCAGAAGTGACCTTCCTGACGATGAAGAGGTTGATCCTGTGAGAGGGAGGCCGATGGATAACTCGTGACTATTTCTTAGTAGGTGGATGGTGTTGGGAACTGAGCCTCTGATTCTCCTTGCCCGCAGAGGAGTGAGCAGGGTGAACTGGGCCTGCGTTTGGGGAGAGATCTCCATCAGTCATCAGGAGGGACTGGCTCCTACAGCACCGGGCATCCATCTGTCAGTGCACTTAATTAGCACATGATAGCAACTGTGCCCTTCTGGTCTTGAGACCAAGGGTGTATTTCATTCATGGCTCCCAAGGATCTGGCACAGAGAAGGTGTTCAGTAGACACTAACAAAGGCAACAGTGTCACGACAGGGTAGCAGAACAGGGAAGTGGGCTATAAGAGGAGGCGGCCCCTCACCCCTGGAGATCCTAATGACGAGAACTAAGCAGCCCTCCAGAGGGTCTGGAGATGCCCAGGCCAGGAGCCCAGAAGGGATTGGAAAATCTCTTAGGTTCTAGCTCTGCTTCTGGGGGAGTCATTATAAAACAAACTTCTCAGCCATTTTCTTTGTACTAGTGGAGTTCCCAAACCAAGCCTGACGTACATGAAGTCACCAACTATGGGACTGCTTTTTGAGAGACTTCCTGCCACTCGGTGGGCTCTTTGATGATCACATTTGGAGTCTTATAGATTTAGTGCAGCTAACGGGTAGAGAGTACAAGCACACCTATTTTATTGCACTTTACAGATATTTCATTTTTACAAACTGAAGGTTTGTGGCAAACCTGCATTGAGCAAGTCTACTGGCACCATTTTTCCAACAGCATTTGCTTACTTTGTGTCTGTGTCACATTTTGGTAATTCTCAGAATATTTCAAACTTTCTCATTATTTGTTATTAGGTGCTATCCATTATTTGTTATGATGATCTCTGATCAGTGATCTTTGCTTATAATTATTTGGGGGCACCATAAACTGTACTCATATAAGACAGTAAACTTAATGTGCTCTGACTGCTTTGCTTGCCAGCCACTCCCACCCACCCCCGCCACCCTGCCCATCTCTCTTCCTTTCCTTGGGCCTCCCTATTCTCTAAGACACAACAATATGGAAATTAGGCCAATTAATAACCTTACACTGGCCTCAAGTGTTCAAGTGAAAGGAAGAGTCACATGTCTCTCATCTTAAATCAAAAGCTAGATATGATTAAGCTTAGTGAGGAAGGCGTGTTGAAAGCCAAAATAGGTCAAAAGCAAGGCCTCCCTCTTGCAACAGTTAGCCAAGTTGTGAATGCCTAACCCAGAGCAAGGCCCTAACTCTCTTAAATTCTATGAAGGCTAAGAGAAGGTAGGAAGCTACAGAGGAAGAGTTTGCAGCTAGCAGAGGTTGGTTCATGAGGTTTAAGGAAAGAAGCCATAACCATAAGGAAAAAGTGCAAGGTGAAGAAGCTGCAAGTGCTGATGTAGAAGCTGTAGCAAGTTACCCAGAAGATCTAGCTAAGATCATTAATGAAGGTGTCTACACTAAACAACAGATTTTCCATGTAGAGGAAACGGCCTTATATTGGGAAGATGCTGTCATTCAGGACTTTCATAGCTAGAGAGGAGAAGTCAATGACTGGCTTCAAAGCTTCGAAGGACAGGCTGATGATGCTCTTTAGGAGCTAATACAGCCAGTGACTTCAACTTGAAGTTGAAGCCAATGTTTATTTACCACTCCAAAAATCCTAGGGCCCTTAAGAATTACGCTAAAACTACTCTGCCTGTGCCCTACACATGGAACAACAAAGCCTGGATGACAGCACATCTGTCGACAACATGGTTTACTGAATATTTAAGACCACTGTTGAGACCTACTGCTCAGAGAAAAAGATTATTTTCAAATTATTACTGCTCATTGACAATGCACCTGGTCACCCAAGAGCTCTGATGGAGAGGTACAATGAGATTAATGTTGTTTTCACGCCTGCTAGCACAGCATCCATTCTGCAGCCCATGGATCAAGGAGTAATTTCAACTTTCAAGTCTTATTATTTAGGAAATACATTTCATAAGGCTATAGCTGCCATAAATAGCAATTCTCCTGATGGATCTGGGCAAAATAACTTGAAGATCTTCTGGAAAAGATGCACCATTCTAGACACCATTAAGAACATCCATGATCCATGGTAAGAAGCCAAAATGTCAACATGAACAGGATTTTGGAAGAAGTTGATCCCAACCTTCATGGATGACTCTGAGGGGTTCAAGACTTCAGTGGAGGAAATAACTGCAGATGTGGTGCAAACAGCAAGAGAACTAGCATTAGAAGGGGAGCCTGAAGATGTGACTGAATTGCTGCAATGTCGTGATAAAACTTGAACAGATGAGGAACGGCTTCGTATGGATAAGCAAAGAAAGTGGTTTCTTGAGATGGAATCTACTTCTGGCAAAGATGTGTAAAGACTGTTGAAATGCCAATAAAGGATCTAGAATATTACATAAACTTAGTTGATAAAGCAGTGGCGGGGTTTGAGAGGATTGACTCCAATATTGAAAGAAGTTTTACTGTGGGTAAAATGCTATAAAACAGCATTGCCTGCTACAGAGAAATTGTTTGTGAAAGGAGCGTCAACCAATGTGGCCAACTTCACTGATGCCTTATTTTAAGAAACTGTCCCAGCCCCCCGCGCACCTTAGCACCCACCACCCTAATCAGTCAGCACCCATCAACACTGAGGCAAGACCCTCCACCAGCAAAAAGATTACGGTTTGCTCAGATGATAGTATTTGTTAGCAATGAAGTATTTTAAAAGTATGTACAGTTTTTTACATATAATACTATTGTACACTTAACAGACTACAGTATAGTGTAAAGGTAACTTTTATGTGCGTTGGGAAACCAAAAACTTTGTGCTACTCGCTTTATTGCAATATTCATTTTATTGCTGTGGTCTGAAACTGAACTCGCGATATCTCCTAGGTATGCCTGTGTATTAACAGATCTGTTAGAACCGGAGGGGGGGTAAAGCTGGGGTAGAGAGAAAGAACAAGCTAGATGGAGGGATATTATTATTATGTGTGTGCCTGTCAGTGTATCAGATAACACAATATCTCGAAAAGGGACCCACAACAAACGGTCTTCTTCAGGTCCTATCAGACAAGGGACAAAATCTGGTATTTGCAATGTTCCTGATATCGACAAGCCCAAGGGACAAGAAACGATATGAAAATCTTCTGGTAAAACCAGGAAACTTACAGGATTGGGCACTATGGATTTCAAATTGTAATAGGGACAGGTAAGGCTGGACTTGGGGTAGGGGGTGGTGCTTTTTAAACTGTTTATTTAAACTATACTGGATACACTGAATAGTCTCTAGACATATGCTGATTTCATTCATCTACTCAGTAAGTATTTGTTAAGAACCCTGTATACAAAAGAAGTCCACTGGGCATAAAGATGAATAAGCAAAATCTGTGCTTTCAATGCTTCCCCAGCCTGATGGAAGAAACAGACATAAACCACAGATGCAGCATGAGGCTGTATCACCTATGAGGGAGCTATCCAGGGTGCAGGACAACAGAAGAGGAACATGTAAGTCAGGCGGGTGATAGAGAAGCCTGTGCAGAGGGGAAACACCTCCTGAGGAAGGAGTACCAGCTAAGGCAGGTGAAGAAGCAGGCAGAGGGGAGGGGAGGCCATGGAAGGCACTCTAGGCAGAGGGCAAGGCAGGGGCAAAGACACAGAGGTACAGAAGTCCACAGCATGGTTGGAGACACTGCAAGTGACTCTGCGGGAGGGACCTGACCAGGAAGAGTCAGGATCTGATCTTGAAGGAAGGCAAGCAGGTTAAGTAATACCAAAAGATTTTCAT